AAATGAAAGTGTAATTTTATATAAAAGATACAAAGTTATCTTTGTGTCTTTTCCCCTTCCCACTGAGATACGCACATAACTTCTATAATAAAAACAAAGGCACATTTTTGGATTGTTCCTTACATTTTGCAGAGAAATGGTATTCACTAGAAAATTCTAGCGAGTGCCCAACTTAAGTTCCATCTGAATAAGGAAGTTTCTGCTATCACAAAGAATTATATATTAAGAAAAGATGAATAAGTAGCTAAGTGTTTTGCTAATACCAAAATCATTACTTATCTCAAATGGCATATCTATCACATTTTTCAAATGAAATCTTGACTGTAACTATCCTTTAAATCTATTAGGACAAATTTGAAATAATTTTCCTGAGTTATTGTGGTGTGCATCATTCCTGATCGCTTATGGAACTGGGTTATAATTTTGCTTAGTGCTCTACAAAATTAATGTTCTACATTTTTATTGATCTAATATACATGCAGAGGTATTTAAAAGAGAGCACCACAGGCTCAAAAAAGGGGTATGTGCTAGAAAAATTGTAGGGAACATGTATGCTGCACAAAACAAAGTTTCCTCTTTTCCATTTCACCATGGTTTTTATTTATTTTTTTTTAAAGATTTTATTTATTTATTTATTCATGAGAGAGAGAGAGAGAGGGAGAGGCAGAGGGAGAAGCAGGCTTCCCACGAGCAGGGAGCCCGATGCGGGACTCGATCCCAGGACCCTGGATCATGACCTGAGCCGAAGGCAGACGCCCAACCATCTGAGCCACCCAGGCACCCTCACCATGGTTTTTAGAAGCTAGAATAGTTCCTAACTTTCTAGCTGGTATTGTTACAACTTTCCTAAAACAAAGAGTCTTAATGTTGAAACCTCAGCTATTTCAAAAGGACAGTTTAATTTTATAAATTTTAATTTTCTTGACCATATACACCAGGAGACATGCAGCGGCATACCTGTTTTTATTTTTTTGTATAGTTTATCCACAGAACTTTTATAGCATCAAAATTAGAAAATTTAGAGAAGGAAACAGCAAAGTAATTTGTGGCCCTTATTTTTAGCTGGTTCATTTTGCTATTTTTACATTCAATGTTTAAATTTGTGCACATGCACACCAACTTCTCTAGAAATCTTTCCTGCTTGCATCTCAGACTTTGCTTCTTTCTGAAATGCATCCTTTTTTAGTAAGGTTTTTTGGTCATAAAATGTTCTTCTTTATCTGAAACCATATTTATTCCACTTTCATTTTGACATAATTTTGCTGGGTAGGTTGTTAGAAGTTGAAAGTCATCTTCTGTTGGTACTTTGAAGATATGCTTTCACTGTCTTCCTATTCCTATTGTTGCTGTTGAGAAATGGGCTGTTAATCTACTTGTTGCTCCCTTGAAGGTGATCTTCTTTTCTCTGGCTTTCTATCAATGTATCTATTTATTTGGGAGGTAATAAATACAATTTCCTTGCAATATGTCTAAATGCAATTTCTTTCTTTTTTTTTAATGTGATTTTTTATATTTATCCTGCTTGTAATTGACTGGGCCTCCTGAACCTGAAAAACAATGTTTTCCTGAAGTCTGGATTTATATATATATATGTATAATATTGTAGTATTTCTTCTCCCATATTACTCAGCCATAGAAAAGAATGAGATTTAGTCATTTATAACAACATGGATGGACCTAGAAGATATTACGCTATGTGAATTAAGTCAGACTAATATGATTGCACTTACATATGGAATCTAAAAAACAAATGGACAAACAGACAAAGCAGAAACAGACCCATAAATACGGAGAACAAACTGATGGTTGCCAGAGAGAAGGGGGTAGGGAAATGGGTACAGTGGAGTGGAGGGTATAGGCTTCCAGTTATGGAACGAATTAAGTCACAGGGATGAAAGGCACAGCATAGGGAATTTACTCAGTGGTACTGTTTACGTTGTATGGTGACAGATGTAGCTACACTTATGGTACGCATAGCATAATGTGTTGAGTTGTGAAATCACTCTGTTGTACACCTGAAATTAATGTAACATTGTATGTCAACTTTACGTCAATAAAAAAGATATTTTTGATTTCCCTATTTTCTCTATTCTTCTATCTTCATGTCCCTTTCATATTTTCCATGTTAAAATTCTGACGCATTCTGGGTAATATCTTCAGATTTATCTTTGAATTCATTAATTCTCTCTTCTACTATGCCTAATCCACCATTTAACCTATCTATTGCTTTGTAAATTGCAATGATTATATTTTTCTTCCTAGAAGTTGTATGTGGTTCCATTTAAAATCTGCCTGGTCACATACTGATAGTCCCTTTTTTGTTATATTTTTAATTCTTTTACTTAAACATTTCACATTTATATTTTTGTTCTGCATCTCATAATGCTAATATCTGAAGTCCTTATAAGTCTAAATTTGTTGTTTTTTATTCCTTGTGCCTCTGTTTAATTTTTTTTACAGTGAACTTATATTTGGCTGAATTTATTCTCAGGAAATTCTGAGGGGTTTATATTAAAGAATGCTTTCCTGTGGAAAAGATTTGATTATTTTTGCTGGGTGTCAAAAGGGGCTACCAACCTGGGATCATTTTAATTTCTTGGCTCTGGCCATGGGGAATGTATAAATTTCAACCCAGACACATATGATAATAGATTATACATTCTATTATTTTTATTGTTTTCCTCTTGAAGTCATGACAATGATAAACCGGTTTTTTATCTGCCTATGTTACTGCAGGGGATTTTCTTCAGGTTATCCATTCACTGAGGCTATAGCCTCTTCACATGTCTCAGTTTCATTCAGTGTTGGGGTGTGTCTCAGAATTAGTTCCCTCTATTTGTATGGGCATTGAGACCTACTTTTTTGGAACCCAAATGCTTTATAATACGCAAAATGCTAGGTTCCCGATCTTGGCATGTCACCCCAAAGTATCCACGATTCCTCATTTAATCACCTCTGATTTCAGCTTGGTGCTTTATTTTTGTTGGGGAAGGGTGGGAATCTTGAGGATTTTACTTACCTTCTTGCAAGCTACACAATAAATTAAAAATGTTTGTTTATTGTACTTTATCCAGTGCCTAAGTGTTTAGCTATGGGAGAGTCTTTTCAAAAATATTCTGGATTGCTATGCTGCCAGTGGGTAAGTCATAAACAGTTTAAGTTTCAAACCCTTTTTTCTTAAAAAAAAAAAAAGAAGAAGAAGAAGTCAGAATTCTTACCAAGTGCAAAACCCTTACTGTCAGTGATTTGTAAATTGGAAAGATAACAACAATAATGGTAGGTAAAATTTACTGTATACCTATTTGCCAGGTACTGAATGCATGTTGTCTTATTTCTCTAAGAATTAGGTAATATTATGTATAAGCTACAGGTGAAAGATGAGAGACTTAGATAACTTAGAGACTTTCCCAGAGTCACACAGTAAGTGGCAGGGATAGGTTTATCTGGTAACAAACTTTTGTGTGCTTTTTCCCCCCACTGAGTTGGACTGCCTCTCTATTCAAGCTCTGCAATCACAGAAGATAAAACCATTTGAAAAATGTTACCAGCTGTATTTTGTTTTAAGGTGCAAATTGATCAGAGATCAACTTTGTAGTAAGGAACTTTCATCTCTTAACAATGTATCAAAAATTTAGTCAAAATCTGACAATCTCTTCAAAACTTATCACAGATCAAAGAAAGAGACAAAAATGGGAAACATTAAACAGGCAAGTTGAAAAAAGCTGTTTTCAGTCATTCAAGAATATCAGATAAGTTCTAGAAGCAATATATTTGTTTTATGCTTTATTCACTGCCTTATCTCAGAAAGAACTTAAGATAGCTGACAAGAATGCATAAAATTCAAGATACAAATTAGAAATAGGTGAGGAGAAATGAAACAAGAAGGAAAAACAGAGAACTAAGATTAAAATAAAAATGTCTACCATTGAGCTTGTTATGAGACAGCTGATAAATCTGGCTTTCTAAGGGCAACTTAAGAAGGGCTACCTGAGTAGCTATGAGTCACCATGTGTATATAATCAAAACAACCCAATTGTTCAGAAGCACAGATATGACTGATCTCTATGAACAGGATCAAAAGTTTCTCACAAAGCACCTCATAAATAGAACATTGTATAATGAAAAGAACAATATCCTGATCATGTAACGGTGGCATTTTTTGACAGTGGAAGGGGAACTATTAGACATTATGCTGGGACAACGGGTTATAAATGGAGACTGTCCCCCCAAAATCAAAATGTACCCTACTTACAGTATCACAACTACGTATTTTATGAAGATATTTTATTATTGCATCCCTCAGTACAAGCCGATGATTGCACACAAATTAGCAATTCAGTAAAAGCAGCTATATTTGAGGTTAACGTAACATGACTGGTTTTAACTTTGAGCTGATCTAGGGAGATGGTAGATTTTAGAGCACAATGGAGCAGGAGTAACAAACTCAAATGGGCTCAGTGGCAAGGGAATGAACGTAAGACTGTCAAGTAGCCAGGCAGAAAGGAGGAAATGGTTAGTGAATAGAACATTTTAAAACAGTATTTTGAGAAACAAAACCAATCTGTAGTTGAATCTAGCTTCCAACTCAGTGACTGACAGTTGGGAATAATGACATATCGGGAGAGCACAATTACTTGATGCCTATGCCGTCTGCATTCAGTATTCAACGGACATTTTAAACATTAACCAGGCCTTCACTTTTCAACTAATTCTTGCTTGTATCTATCACTATGTTGAAAATATATTTAGGAGAGTTTCTAATTAAATTTGAACAGAAATTTGAGTTAATTCTTGGCTTTCATAAGTAGCTCGTTCTTTGAACAGTAATTCTTACTGACTCAAAATTTTCTCTGACCCTGGCTTCTGAAGAAATGGGTTTTCTTGGCCTTTCAGTTTGAAGGACCTGTTAAAAAACAGCCCATCCAATCAGAAGCTACATTAGTAAAAGTACAAGATTCCAAACCAGGGAACTAACAGTTAAAGGGGGATAGTAGTCTTACCTTACACTGTGCTGGTCAGATCCCATCTAGTGCAGCTCACTGTGGGTGTCTCCGTTACTAAAGGGAGACATTGACAAAGCATGGGGCCCCAAACGGCAATGCTACCATTGTCCACTATTTCTAGGTTTCTTCTCCTTTCAAGGGATATTTTCAAGTTCTTGTAGCTCAGTCCCATCCCCACTCCCCTTATCAACTCTCAGAAGATGACCTGGACTCAAGGACATCATAGAACAATTCAAGTCTGCTCCCCCCTTTAGATGTACCTGTGTTCACATGGCTCTGGTTAGTGGAAGAGGTATCCTTTCTCTTGTTCAAGACACATTAATCCACAGGATGTCACTTCTTCTGCCTTCTTAGGAATTCCTTATTATTTATTTATACTCTATTCTGTATCTTCAACTCTCCCTTTCTCCTGGCTCTTTCCTGTGGACACAGAAAGGAGGTCAAGTCTCCGTGATCTTTAAATAAACCAGACTTGCTCTTTGTCCTCTAGTTTCTACACTATCTCTCCTCTGCTCTTCACAGCTTTTGAAAAGGGGGCCTGCAGGCAATGTCTTCTGCACTCACTTCCTATCCACACCACAATCTCTGGCAATCTACATTCTGGTCCCTTCACTACTGAAATAGCTCTTGCCCAATGACTTCCTAGTTGCTTAATCCAAAGAACAATTTTTTCTTATCCTCACAGTACTGGTGACTGTTAACTTCTTTACAACTCTCTCCTCAGTTTCTGGGATAGTGCTATTTCTTGATTTTCCTCTAACACGCCTGGAAATTTTCAATCAATTTTTGAGTTGTTTGATCACCCCTTAATGTTGGCTTTCCTCTACCTAGTATATACATGTTGGCTTCAACTGACACCTGTTGACAAATCCCAAATCTGTAGCCCTAGACCAGTTCTAAACTCCTGATCTGAATATTCAAGTGCCTAGCGGTCCTCAAACTCAACATGTCTGCAATTGAACTTATCTACAGCGCCCCCATTCTCCCTATGTCATTGCCTTTCACTCACTCAACACAGTCATTTAGAAATTATCTTTGACACCTTCTCTTCCTTTCCCCCTACGTTTGCATTTAGTTGGTCATCAAGTCCTAATTTTCTCTTCAGTCTTCTACTCTCCTACATCATTGCCCTAATTTAGAAAGTTTAATTGTGCAGCATGCTTTCAATAGTTCCCCATTATCTTCATGACACATTTTTATTTAGCATGGCATCCAAAGCCATTCATATTGTAGCTTTCCCAAAGTAGCGTCTAAACTGAAGTACCCAGAATGCACTATGCTCTTTCACTTTTCTCTGTGCCCTTCCTACCCCCACTATTTAGTCCTGCAATACTCAGTTCAGATGTCTCCTCCTGCAGGGTGTTTCCCCAGCTTCTCCAGACAAGGTTAGGTGTTCTCTGGTTTATTCCTGTAGCATTTTGGGTTTACTTCTGTTAGGGCATTCATATCAACCATGCAACCACTAAATTTACTATTGGGATCCTTCTTTAAACGCACCAATAATAATAGCTAACATTTGCTGAAAGCTGTGTACCAGGCTCTGTATTAAGTGCATTGCATGCATTATTCATTTAATCCTCACAACAATCCTAAGAAGTTGTTACTATCTTTGATTCCCAGGGGAGGAAACTGAGCTTATAGGTTAAGCAACTTCCTCAGTCACAAAATTATATCCTAACCTTTTTGAAAACAAGGACCTGTCCTATTTGTTTATGAAGAAAACCTGTTGACATATGGCACATGGTGGTTCCCCCCAAAATGTTTATGGGTTGAATAAATGAATGAAGAGCAGAGAACAAAACTGGAACCAGAAAACAGAAATTAAATAGAGGCAGATTTTAATTTAGTCTGAATGATTTTGTATTAGGTAAAACTGTCCAATGAAATGGATCACTCAAAAGACAGTTACATGTGGCACTTAAAACACTGAAGAGTATACATTTGCCTTTTTTCTCCCTTGTGAATAGGGGCTGTGTCATACTTTGCTTTCATTTTTCAGAATCTAGCCAAGGGCTAGAGATGCTCAGCAGGTGTTTATTGAATGAACTGGATTGAATTTAAAGGCCCTGCAAACTAAAAAATGGGTATTTGCCCTTACTACCATTCATTGGAAGTTTAACTCCCATGGTTCTTGATTTATTCTCATTAATCTGCCTTTTCTTTCTAAACAACTTTGAGAATAAAGACAAGGTAGGGAAAGAGTTTAGAGACTTCATTTGTTGTTTGTAAAATTCCACCACACTGTAAGCTCTGTGGGAGCAGGGAATACGTATCTTTCATCACATTATATCCTTAGTCTTGCACATAAAAGCTGTTCAGTAAGTATTTCTTGGATGAAACACACGTGCATATATGTGCATGCACACACACACACGCACACACCCTGACAGTGTAATCTTTACTCCTAGAAGGGCCCCATGGAACTATATGCCATATAAGGAATTCCTGCATTAATTCGGGGATCTGAACCAGATCAGTGTTGTTACATGGAAAAACTAGTTAAATTATCTACTTTGGAGCCCCAAAAAAGAGAAATGGAGAAAGGAAAAGAGGAGAAAAGCACTAAATCACAACTGTCATTCTCAAACCTAAGGCACGACTCAGACTAGTAAAAATCTCCCTCAAAGATCCCACAGATGGGGAGCCTGGGTGGCTCAGTCGTTAAGTGTCTGCCTTGGGTTTGGGTCATGATCCCGGGGTTCTGGGATTGAGCCCCACGTCGGGCTCCCTGCTTGGCGGGAAGCCTGCTTCTCCCTCTCCCACTCTCCCTGCTTGTGTTCCCTCTCTCGCTGTTTCTGTCAAGTCAGTAAAATCTTAAAAAAAAAAAAAAAGACCCCACAGATAGTGGAAGAAACAGTGGCTGTATGACCTCTGAGGTCCCTACCAAATTTAAGTTATTTGATTTTCATTTATTGATCCTAAATATTGAAATGAGAGGCTACATTTCAACACACTGATGGTTCAATCTGGAATTCATTTTTTTTTATATACTATCCTAGGCACTGAGGATACAGTTGTAAAAAGAGACAGAGAAATTCTTTGAAGATTTTATTTATTTATTTATTTGACAGAGACACAGCGAGAGAGGAACACAGGCAGAGGGAGTGGGAGAGGGAGAAGCAGGCTCCCCGCTGAGCAGGGAACCCGACTCGGGGCGCTCCATCCCAGGACCCTGGGATTATGACCTGAGCTGAAGGCAGACGCTTAATGACTGAACCACACAGGTGCCCCGAGACAGAGAAATTCTTAACCTCATGGAGTTTATATTCTAATGCAGTATGGGAGTAGGAGATAAATAATAAGATATTTTAGATAGAGTTATCCGAAAAAGATAGGAAGAAGTCAGGAAATGGCAAAATTCATGAGATAGCATTACAGTCACTGTATCTTGAAGTGCTGGGCTCTTTGGTCATTGGTACTAGACAGTGGACCTTGGAGTAATTTTTGACAGTAATTCCATAGCACTTTAAAGATCTATTCCTTTCTCAATGTCCTATTACCTAAATTCCCCATACCTGTTATATTGTTATCAACTGGTACCATTTCCTCACTGGCTTCCAGCTTTCCTTTCTCCTCTGTGCATATAAAAACTACTAACTACAAGTTTCTCTTAGGTATCATATCAATTATTTTTTCTTCTTAAAAACTTCAATATCACCTATTTTCTCTCCTGCCTTTACCTCTCTCAAGTCTATTGGCAAACTCTTCTTTTTCTCAGTCTTTCCCTCTCCATTCCTTCAAAAAAACAAAATAATCTCTTTCCATGTATACCAAGCAGTCTTCATCTCATTTAAAATATTGACTTTTTCTTCCATGGTACTTTTCCTAACCTAGTATAAATAATATTAAACACTGCATATTAACATTTTTACAGTTACAGACAAGATTTTAAATTTAGGTCACAGAATAGCAAAATATGTAAGAAAGGGTTATAACTGAATTTTACATGTTTTATATTCAAATTGATTTACCAATGTTTATTATTTTTTTTTTTTAGCTTTGGTGCAAGACCTTGAGAATCAGACTATTTTTTTTTGAGCTATGTTCCATGCTTTTTTTTTTTTTAAGATTTTATTTATTTTAGAGAGAGTGTTTATGTGCATGAATGGGGGAGGGGGCGGAGGGAGAGGTAGAGAATCTCAAGCAGACTCCATGTTGAGTGCGGAGCCCAACACAGGGCTTGAGCTCATGACCCTGAGATCATGACCTAAGCTGACATCGAGTCGGACACTTAATCGACTGAGCCACCTGGGCACCCCTATGTTCCATGCTTTTAAACATAGAAACACAAAGACCCTAATTAACATTTGATGTCTTGACACACTTCAGATCCAAATGATAAAGAGATGATTTGTCTGCCACTGTAGAGTCAATACATGGGAATCACATACAAACATCCATGTTTTTTTCTCTAAAAGAATTATGAAGAGCAATATTTGTTTTTAAGAACATGGTTCTTAAAGGCTTGTCACTCCCAGCAAGAGAATACCTTTTTAAAGTCCAATGAGGTTGAATGTTCTTTATGCCCACTTTACATCTTTCAACCTAAACCACTTCCCTGCAGGGTATACTTTAAGCAGTTCCCACTTCAAACTTATACAGTATCTTGTACCTAGGGTTCTTAGGCAATTCAATCTACCATATTCAGTAGAAAGTTTTTTCCCTATTTAAAAGAGAAATAAGGTTAGAAATCTGCAATTGTTCACTCAATATTTCAAAATAAACTAGTTCTGGAGCTGGTAAGATCCAGAATTCCTATTTTAGTTTTGGACAATTCTTCTATATTTAAATATTTACTATTCTTAAAATTATTGTAAATTATAATAATTACAAAAGAAAGGATTTAAACTGTAGGGTTTGATCATATTGAAAGAGCTATAAATTTGTTCACTTTAAATGAGGAGCATATGAGGAATATCCAAATGTTTTATTAACATTTCCTTTTAGCTGTAATAAATGACCATGCTGGAAAAATAATTATTTTATAGTGCTGGGTCTCAGGGAACATTAATCTCATTTCAAGTAAAATCATTTTAACTTTTTAGAGCTGATTCAATCATCTAGGAGTGACTGAATGAAACCTCATATGTGAATGTGCCTGGCACAAGTAGGCGCTCTGTGTACATGGTTAGATCTGAATTTAGATTCTGTTCTTTAAGTCACAAGATCCAGGATTTCCTCTGCTCAGATATCCAGATGCCATAACTGAATCAGGGAGTAGTGAGAGCAAACTTTCAAATCAATCAACACCCAGAAGTTTTTGTTTCTCACTTGCTCATGTCTGACCCAATTCTAAAACAAGTATATGTTTTTACTGACAATGTTTTTATTGTGGATGACTGTTGGTTGCAGTTAGCTTCTGCAATTCTACCTGGCTCTGAAGTTTAAAAAAAAAAAAAAGCTGTTAAGACAGACAATTTAAAGCTATGCCTTAGGCTTACATAAATTCAAAAATAGTTGAGGTCTCAGTTATGATGCTCTAATACTCCAGTTATGGTCAGCTGAAGTGGAGTCTTGTCAAAATACTTTTAAGCTAAACAAACATTGAATTTAACAAATGACATCAAAGAATTTCTATAATATATTTAAAATTCTTTTCCTATGCTATTCAGATCTTCCAGGTAATGAGATATACAGAATGATCTCTTATACATCTTTAATGGAACTTGATATTTAATATTAGTTATCTTTGTACATGTTTTACTTTTGTAAGTGTAATATAAAATCCTGGAAGGTAGTATGTAATGAGCACTTAATATTAATTGAATGAATAAATGGACAAACATTGAATGAGGCTAAAGGAAAAGGACAGATAAGCAGCAGATTTGTGTCCCTGTGTGCAGTGCAAAGTACACATTTGTAAAAAGTAATCCAACTATGCTTACATGATGACTGGGTACACTGAAAAATTCACTAATAGAAAAAATACCACTTAGGTAACATATATGCACACACAGACACACACACACACACTTACATAAGCAAATGTAAAAAAAAAGTGCTAATAGAACCTACATCAAAGTGGTTAACAGTGGTTACTGCTAGGGAGAAGGCTGTGATTCTGGGGGCAAACCCTTAAGCTACCAATATTTTAACTTTTTACAAGAAAAATATAGATATATTATGCAATTCAAAATTAGAGAAAAAGGAAAGGGAAGAAAAAGGAAAGGGAAGAAAACATAAGACACTGGCACAGAATCAAGAGACATTCTAGGCCTAACTTGTGTATTATCAGGAATAAATATTTAAGTGCTCTTGATCTCCATTTTCTCATTTATAAAATGTGTAGGTATGATTAGCTGATCTCTAAGCTCTATATTTTATGATGAACTGTGAACTATCAGTCATTATAAATCATTGTCTGAAACCACCAAATCATTGAGATATTAAAATCTAAATACCAGCCAAGCTGTTTAGCATTAAGAATATAAGAACCAGAAAGCTTCGTTCTACTTTTGTACCGAAGCCTGGTGTATCTACACAAAGGATCAACAGGCAATTTCAGGTGTTGTTCTCTTGAAAGATAACAGAGAGCTGGAGTGAGTGCATAAAAGGGATATTAGCGGAGAATTTGGAGGAAAAATGGGCCTCTGAATGAGGAAGAGAAAAATAAGTATCAGTACTCATCTTTTTGGAAAAGATGTTACTGAAGTAGTACATAACATTCTGAAGTATTTCTTTTGATGCAAGGGACATTGTGAAGATGCCTAAAAGGTGTTTTTGTTTTGTTTTTAACCAAGTATACCAAGTAATATGTACAACAGATAATCTTACTTAGCCTCACATCTCTAAATTGTACTTCATCATCTAAATGATGGATAAGGATGAGATGGTCAAGGATAAGGAATATGAGGGCCAAGGATATCTGCTGCATACCTATTAATTTTTTTTAAAATGTGTTATTTTTAAGCAGCCATTTCAAAGAGACATGACCCCATGTCAAAACAGCTACTGAAAAATGTCCTGATTTATGGGAGAACGGTAGTGATGAGGTAGTGGCCACAAAAATGTGGAGGCAATAGATGTGTAGTTAGTGTGTGTATGTGAGACAGCAAGACAAAGAGTGTGTGAAGAAGGGGAATATGAAAGCAGTATTACTAGAATTGACCCATGCAGAGTATGGATGAGTCCTGGAAATTACCCTTGTCCTCACAACTGTACTTCCCCATGATTTCTCAAATCCATCCTCAAGCTTCATTTCCAGTCTCCTATTATATTGTTCTGTTCTAAACCTAAGTCAAGATAACCATTTTTACCAGTTGTGCACAAATAATTGTAAGTCAAACACATTTTAAAAAGTCAAGTCTGTATATCTCTATAATTCTCTATAATAATAAAATTTCCTTTCTTGTATTCCTATAGCTTGAATGGGATGGAAATGATTGCAGGAAAAGCGAGAGCCTAGGAATTCACATCTCTTTGCATATACGTACATCTATCATTTATGTGGCAAAAGAAAATGGCTGAGAATGATAGTCTTGAGGGAAAAAAGCCCAAATTCCATAACATCATATATGCTTCTCCCAGACTGGCCTAAGTAAGCCAGAAATGGGCTCACCCACAGTGGACTAGTCACCATTCCCAAAATGTGCCATATATTTTCATGCCTTTAAGTCTTTCAATACCCAAGCCTTCCCTTCTCCACCACCAACTATGAACACTCTTATAAGATACACTCAAATATCCCTTATTCTATATAGCTCTCCGATTTCTCCAGGCAAAGTCAACACCTCCATCGTACTCCTTGATCTACTATAATCTATTTCTATGTCCACTCTTTCCATCACTCATGAACTCTAAAACTTTAAGGCAGGCCCTGTACCTTCTTTAAAGTTTCCCATCTTAGCATGTTGTCTGGCTGATAGCCTTCCATAAACTGTAGTTTGAATGGAGATAGAAGAAAACAGCAATGAAACATCTGGTTCTAAGGGGCATTAGGGAACTCTCCTGTTATTTACAAGATAAGACAGATTCATTTAAGCTACTCCAGGAAAAGCTCTTATTTTAAAAGGCAATCAAGGCAGGAAATCTTGTAATTTTCATTAGAAACATTTTTTATCAAATAGCCCTTGTTAAAAGGTTCTTTCTTACACAGGAAATTCTTACAAGATTCTGCAAAATGGATGCCTAAATCATTAAAATATAACTTTCACACTACCTAGTAAGTGTCCTCTAAAAAGAATAATCCAATTAAGAAAACCTATGTTTTGCCTGACATTCAAATGTGTCTATTTTGAAACTAATTTAATGACAGATAGTAATATTCTTTCCCATTTTTTTTTTAAGATTTTATTTATTTATTTGACAGAGAGAGACATAGCAAGAGAGGAAACACAAGCAGGGGGAGTGGGAGAGAGAGAAGCAGGCTCCCCACTGAGCAGGGAGCCCGATGCGGGGCTCGATCTCAGGACTCTGGGATCATGACCTGAGCCAAAGGCAGACGCTTAACGACTGAGCCACCCAGGTGCCCCTCCCATTTTTTTTTTTTTTTAATTCAAAGAACTTGTTCATATATTTTTCTTTTTCCTATTTGCTCCTGACACTATATTATGGCTATGGTCTTTAGTATCAACTACATCTCCAGCTGAAATCTACAAAATTCTTTGAGTACCTTAAAGGCCCCTAAATCTCCAAGAAACACTCAAATTTCCCTTTTCTCTAATAAAAAAGGTGACAATGTTCACTAGATTCCCTATAAATATGCACCATGTTTTGTAACTGAGATGCTCCAAAATGTCCTCCCTCTAGAGTGAGGACCTATTACAACTAGCATAGCAATGAAGTCTCTTCATTTTGGATTAGGTGTACTCAGTACTCTTTAGCACATCCAAAAAATCCTCAAGACCTCCAAGGAGCCTCTGGTAAGTGAGGAAGTAAATCTAATGGGAAAACACTGGGAGAAGATCTTTAATGAGGCAATAGGAAATGGCAGGGGATTCCATGAATTCTGGTAAATTATTTGGACTCAAGAAAGGAACGGAAACATAGACAAATTGTTTTCTTGGGAGGTAGGAGCAAGACTAAAGAAGGATATGAGAAAAGTTTCAGATTCCCAGAGGAATAAATGTTAGGGTGAAATGAAATGTAGGTGTGAGTAAATTTTCTGATTTCTGTACCTAGCAATTTTGAAGTGCTTCATGGTTTATGAACAGATCTATTATGTGGTTAGGTCTACATCTCTTCAACAGAGATAAAATAACTGGTCACCATCCTAAATATAAAACTATAAAATAGACCATTTAAAAATATTCTAGTTCTTTCAGGTATGAAGAAAAAATAACACATAAGAAAATATATGTTATTTTATATAATTAACTTTAGCAAATCAGAAGCTTAATTAGGATAGACTTTAAAAGTGGGACTTTCAAGAGTTATTAGATCTGTATTAACTTATTTAATAATATATACTTAGCATATTACATTAGTTTTATGCAATATGGGTTACAAAGAATAGTGATCCTTGCCCTCAATAAGCTCACACTCAAACACAGAATCAGCACCTCTTGTTTTTGACATTTGTGTTCAATTTTTAACAAAGTTTAGACCACTTTTCAGTATTTTTGATAGACTATCAACTGTATCAGAAGGCCAGGTTTATTTGGAAAATAGGAAACACCCACAGGATAAAATAGGAGGATCTGAAAGGCCCTGAGAAGTCTTATGGAAAAAGAATTATAACTTTGCTTAACTTGGTACTTTCCAAAATTATGTAACTGCTTTTTTTTTTCTCCTAATAACCTATAAGCAGATCATGGCACACTCTGAAAAATGCTGATTTGCATACAATTTAAAAAATGTATTCCTAAATATTTCCTAAAGCACTGAAAACACAAACTTTTTAACACTTTTCACAGTTTCAGAAAATACCCGAAAAATAGAGCCTCTGTTTGCAAATTCTTGGTAATTACAAAAATAATTTGATGGATGGGTCAAGGGATAGGAAGAAAATAACAAATAGCGTTCCCAAACCATGGAAAACTATCTGTAACTGTAAACTGTTTTATAAAGACTAAAAATATTCATAAAGTTTTAATAACAGGTGATTTAAATATATAAGCCTTTTACTAAAGTCTACCTTATGTAAATACACTGTTTAGACTCTCTCAAATAAACATCTTAACCTGCGATAAACTTTACTTATGTTATTACATGTAGAGACAAGATGTTACATGCTCCATATTCCATTTGTTAACATTCACTATCTTTCTGCTCTTTTTTGAATTTTAAGTTTGTACCTGTTCTTCTCTCTTAATAATAACTAATGGAATTTTAGTACTTAGGCACTTCTATTTGCTGGCTTGAAAAAAAGTTAGGAAGCTTAAATGAAGAAATCATGTGCTCTCTTCCCCGTAGCTGCAGAAAAGCAGATAAAATTCTACTCTATATGATAAAACTGCCTTTGCAAATATGATTTTTTAAAAAGTAGTCCTGTTAGACACTTGGGCTTCAGTGTTGCTATACCCTGTGAAAATAGCATAACTTATATAGGCTGTAATTCTGATTATAATTCTGTTTGTCTTAGTAATTTGTGGCCTTGTTAATAATACTTAAAGTAACATTTTGATTTCTGAAAGTTTTTTTGCAAACTTATTTCGAGAACAAAATCATTGGCACATCCCTTGCAAATATAGGGTCACACACACATCTCCGTTTATGTGTATCTTATTTAAAGAGTTTTCACCAACTTATCTTGTTTACATAGGTGCTATGACCAAAACAGACACTTAAGTGTAGAAGAGGGAACTGATGGCTCAGAGAAAAACATAAATTGGTCTCTGCATATGCAGTCTGCTTTCAACACAAAGTTGTAAAAACTTTTCCTTTCTCCATATTCTTCCTAGTTGGCAGAAGGTGCTGTTCTTACCTGAGATTATACTTTTACTTCTCAAACATCACAACTGATTGATTCTCCTGAAGCTTTTGGGTAGTTCTTTTAGATAACTGTAATAACAATAAAGGTTCCTTACTTCTGGAGGAACTAAAATATCTAGGAGTCCTTATGGTCTTGAGCTGTGGCTATTACTAAACTAAGGCTGTCGTGACCTCTTGTTCACAGGCATCGTTACTCTTACATTTATCAACCAACTGGTTTCCTCTGTTAACTCATTCAGATGTTACTGTTTTTCAAGATGAGGCTGCAAACTAACTAAATAAAATCATCCCCCTAAGAAGTCCCCTGCAAATATTCAGGTTAATATTGTATGTGTTGTTCACAAGAGTATGTTTCAGTGATTATGTGTACCTTTGCAGGATACGTAGAAACATACTTATATGCAAGAGTGACATGACTGTTGGCAAGTCTTTATTGCTAAAGCTTCACAGTATCATTTTGTCTAGTAATAATCAGGAAATACCCTTTTTCTGATCGATTTAAAGAAGATATAAAGATATAAAGAAGTTTATAAAGTCCTACTGACAATTCAAAACTGTTGTCCCCCCACCTAGAAACAATAGGGACAGTATAACATCTAGATGGGATTCTAAAGAAACAATCAAAGTGCCCAAGCATATTGGCCATTTTTAAGAAATCTTCAGCAACCAGACTGGATGTTTTTTAAACTCAAAAAATATTAACAGCCTATAAGATTTCCAAGTATTTACCACCTTATCTCCATCTAAGTTCCTTAGTGGAAGATGTAACCTGAACCTCACCTAAGGGGACCTTTTAAAATATTCCTATTTGTCAGGTTCAAAGTCTCCTGTCTTGGATGTTTTAAAATGATTATCTCACCCATCAAAAGATTTCCTATTATTTTTAGTTTCTTATAGACACAACGTATAGAAGAGAGTTTCTTGAACTCTTGAACACTTCCCACTTAAAGCACCAGACTAGTAGAAGCAGCTTACAGATAACTCTTGGTAGTGCTGGGTCTATCTAGATAGCTGGTGGGCCTTCTATCCTAACCCTGGTCTTCTGGTCAGGAGAATTCAACCTCATATGTCATACATGTCTGAAAAACCTTCCAGACTTGTTCCAAGAGAATCCATCATGAAATAACTAAAATCTCCAGAAGACAGCACCTAACTTGCCTGTCAATAGGTCAGGGCTGGATCCCATGACCCTGAGATCATGACCCGAGCCAAAATCGAGTCAGACATTTAACCAACTAATCCATCCAGGTGCCCCGAAACCTCTTTAAATTGACTTTAAGGAAAAGAGTATGATGATTTCAAAGATAACTATTTCACTTGTCAAGCTCATGCACACTCATGGTCATATACATTTGGCCTGGCTTTGTATCTTCCAGTATTTCCCAATGGGAAATATTTACATCTGTGAAGCACAATGGTTTAGGGAAATAACATTCCAAGTGAGGTCATACACAATCTCAGAAAGATAAAAAATTAGTAAAATAAGAGATCAATAAGACTGCTTCTCTGAATCTGCTGAGCGGATGGCCATTGCACTAGGTCCTGCAGAATTACTTGGCTCAGATTTCACCTTCAACAGCAAAGGATGTATGTTCATTGGCAAGGAATGATTACCCTACATTCCTGGCAATTCAAGCTATGTCAAAAAGAATTTGCCAAGCTGTACCAGACTAAGAGCTAAGACCTATTTACATGGGTTGGTAGCCTTTTATAGGGCATTTAGCAGTTACAAAAACCGTTCAAGGTATTGCAATGAGGCTAAAACTGTTAGTCCATATGTAGCAGTAATATTTATGTTATATAAGTTGTAGCCTTAAAGATTCATTTCAAATGTTCTTACCTGGTTAATAAGTAGTACACATTAGCAAAGAAAGAATAAGTGATAAGGGGATTCCTACAGATTCTAATTTAAGATAAAATATTGCCTAAGAAGCCCCAGACCTCATATTTGAGGTCAGTTTTCCCAACAATTCCCTAAAGTAAGGTCTTTTAGCTTATTCTACCGTAATTCTATTTTTATTTTGCTTATTTTCTGTCGCTTTCACTGATCAATGACTTCTGTTTAAACATTTATATACTACTCTTTAAATAATAAATGATTTGGATAAATTTATGGTTTTATGCATATTTGCTTAGCAACTAACTATGATTCTGGAAACTGGATTTTATTAGCAAGACAGAAGGAATGTTTAGTAGAAAAAGCACTGATTTGTGAGCCAGGAGGCATACTGTAAAATGTTTACCTTTTAAGAATGAGCTCAATGTGTAACATAAATCAAGTGCATCAGCCTAATTATTGGAGTCTGAGTAAAGCACATATTTTCTCTCAAACATGCCCTTTTTCGCTGGTTCAGTAGGGAGTGGGCCAAAATCTTATTGTTAATGTAAAACATGATGGGATGCTACCCTTCCCCCACCCTCACAGACAATGCATGGAATTATAGATTTTAAATAATAATTATGCATATAAGGATCTATAGACAAAAAAGGGCACAGAAATAACGTATTTCTAATATCCACGGAACAATTTAGAATATGCAGAGTTTAGGACTCAAATAGTTTAGCATTTTTAAAAAAGGTTGTGATGAACTGCAGTCAGACTAGTATCCTTGAAGTTCCAATTATCATACACTGGGCCCACAGATAAGCTACGAGAACCTGCTATGAGATAAAGTAGCCCTGTTGACAGATCTCTACAAAAGCAAGGCCTGGGCCTACTCCTAGGCACATTCCTCAGAAACTGCAGCAAAGAGGAGCAGAACAACAAGCACAAAGGAGAACAAGAAGACTGCAGTGTGACTTGGTCACATCACTGGAAACATTCTGATCAATGTCACCCAGGAACACAAAGCACACACTACTATGTATGCAATTATAATAAATGCATATATATCCCCAGACATTCCCACTTAGTTAGTTGAAGAATTATATTTGGGACCCATTTTGAATTAATTTAATTTCTTATCCACTTAATTTTCAGTAGAGGACAAATTGAAAGATGGTTAAATGCATTTAATTACACTTTCTTTAAAAATCTATAATTCTTCTTTAGAAATATTTGTTTGCTGTAATTCTTTTTTTTTTTTTTTTTAAGTAGGCACCAAGCCCACCGTGGAGCCCAATGTGGGGCCGGAACTCATGACCCTGAGATCAAGACCTGAGCCAAGATCAAGAGTCAGACACTCAACTGACTGAGCCACCCAGGCACCCCTTGTTTGCTGCAATTCTTGTAATTTGATGAACTACAATGGTATTCCTTAACTAAAGTTTCAAAATGTCTTTCCCTTGAGGCTCCCACACAAAATAAAAAGCAGTGCCTGAGCCTTTAGCAAACAGAACTTTAGCTTTTTGGGTATTACAGGGCCCTTTAAGATGACCATGCCTGCTGAGACCCTTTCCCTAGAAGAATGAATAAACACATTGTTTCACAAGGTTAGTGGACTCTTTGAACACCATATATAGACAAGTTATTTCTCTTATCCAGTTTAGTAATATACTAAAAGTAATATTACAAAAGTCTCTTTAGAAACTGACACTGAGAACAAGGATAAGGTAGGAAGGAGAGTATCGGCGGTGGGCACAAACCCACCCAGGGTGGTGTAGTCTGATACCATTACTATTTTTGGTGGCCCCAACTTTAATGGAGCAGAAAAAACAACTGAGGTTAGCAAATGGCGATGTCAAGGATGGATCTAGTTCAGTGGGAAGAGAGCAAATTCCAGCATTTCCTAAAGAGTGGGAAGCTTCTTTTCAGTCTCCCAAAGAAGAGAACCATTGTTTAACCCTCCATTAACCTTGAGGCAGTCTATCTTTCAATGCAGTTAAAATTACTAGACATTAGAACAGGACCTACACTTATATTTATTTAGGCTATCAATAATGACTAATGGCTGTTTAATATCAGTATTATTAATAAGAGGGAAATTAGGTTATAAGATATAGTACAACACTCCTAAAATTTTCATCTATGTTTAAAATACCTGCAAGCATTGTAGCTACCTATAAAATAATAAATCAGTTATTTTATACCCCCAAAGAACATATTAGAAGGATTTCTCATGTACATTATCACATGAAGATGATTCTAGAATATTTTTGAGTTCTATATCCTATGAATTACATCAAAGTACCGTGGCACCTTTAAAAAATTGTTGCCATTGAGCTGTTGGTTAGAATTTCCCTTAACAATAAGCCTCAATAATTTACACCGGCCCTGGTTGACTTTCTATTTTGATATGTAGTTTGTGGTATGTTTTCAGAGAAAAACAAAAACTAAATTATTATTAAGTCAATACTACTCTGATTCATATAGCTACAAAGGAAAACCTGTATATATATATTTATAAAACCTAATTATTACATAGTTTTGCATCTTGGCTTAATTCCTATTTTATTGTTTCACCAACAAGACTGCCAATTCTTTAAGCTTTACATCTAGTCAAGAATTAAATCTGCATTAAATACAGAATTAATGTGTCTTTGGAGTTTAATTTTTTTAAATTAATAGCAAAGTGCAATGTCAGAAGAGTCAATGTACCAAAAAATTGAAACAGAAAATCAAATTTCATTAAAACAATTCCTGTTCGTTTGCTCAGGAGTATATTTTTTACACCCCCTTGCTTCTCCCATAATTAAAAAGTTAATTACTGGAATCATATTTTTTGTGGATCTGAGTTTTCAAAGGATGTGATTTAAATGCTGTTATTAATATTTTTACAGCACTTTGAATAACATTAATCTTACATTGATCCTAACAGTAATGTAATGCTATTTTGTACATAATTATATTTAAATGTCTCTATTTTAAATAGAATTTTGAATTTAACTCTGTGCTACATATCCTACTTAAGTATTAAAAATTAAGAACCCTATGGTCTGAATAGTTCATTATAATCTTTTAAAGCTAGCAGTTAAGAAAAAATCTAGTACTGGAGTATAATTTCCTTGAGAGCCAAGTCACTTTCTCTTGCCCTCCTATCTTTTACCCAAGGTAGGCATTCAATAAATATTTATTCAGTGATTTAGTAATCTGCATTGATAAAAATAAATATATCCTTGGTTTAGTATTTATGCTCTCCTAGTTTTCGTTAAGTTATTAAATACTATAAACAAAGTGTTAAGCTACTATAAACTGTGATACTTTATAAAGAACAGTTTGGGGCCTACTGTTCTTTTCAGTGATCAAATTAGATGAAATAAATAATAATGCACAAATGTAGCACACTAAACCCATAACAATTTTAAAAATTCAAGATTAGTTAACTGACCTAAACAATTAATGAGAACTCCCTGTCAAAAGCACACTTACGGATGGCTCTCGAAAGAAAACTGTAATTGGTTAAAATATGATTTTTTAATTATTAAGTCTTATTAAAAGGTCTTTAATAGTTGGAAATTATCTTTTGTTTTTAACAAACTGCACTAGATTTATGTACAAAGCATAGCCTTTAATATCTATTGAAAAGAAACTACAACAAAAAAATCCCCCAAGATTTATCAGACCCTTTAGGGACAAATCATTCAAATCTCAGTCAATTGCAGATTCAGAACTTCTACTTTTCAATTATTTAAATCTGCAGTACAACAAACTATCTCCTCACTTTTTAAAAGTTTAGTTACCAGTACTCCTTAAGAGTCACCATCTGAAGAAAGACTTTATCTATAATTTGATATTGTAATCAAAGATTCAAGTAAGTTAGCCCACATAAAAAAGTACAGCAGTAGACACAGGCAAGAGCAACAAGTGGTGAAAGCATTTTCTTATCTTACCAGTTGCTTTCTTCTTAAGATCATCTTTAAAGAAATAAAAATGTAAGTTCAATATCTTGTTCAACCAATTCTTTTAAACCATAACTTAAAATCTAAAAATTTCTCCAATTAATCAATGTACCAATTCCTCAATTTAGTTCAGCTGCTGTAATTTTATAAACTGACATGCTTGATTTGAAATTTGGTTTATTTATTTTTTTGTTTACTTGAATGAGGGCATTTTAAACATTACTATTTCTTGATTAAATAATATTAAAACTGATGATAAGAATCAGAGATGCATATAAAATAACAGAAACCTCTAATTATGATGTTCCGGGTTTGCAGTTACTATTAAAAACCACACTTCTGCATTTTTTCACATCGAAAAGGTTTTGTGAATATTTCTCATCAGAACAGTAAACTATACAAATTTAGTTTCAACAATTTCCATTGTCATTGGTAATTTTTATAGGAATAATTTCTATTAATGCTCAAAAACTATGAACTACATTTTATTTATATCATCAAATTACAGAATATTGTAAAACTGTTGCACTTTCCTAGTATTTTTTTCCCAGGATCCACCTGCTCTATGCTGCCCACTATAGGAAATGCAATATGGTACAAAGAAATATAATACTATACGCTAAGGTTACTGTTAGTGCAATCCCATAAAAAAAAATTCCCTGGGTACTTGGGGTCTAAGATAGGGTATTCTTGCAAGAGGTACAGACTGATTAGTGGTAACTAAATTTATTAAATATAAAGAACATCAGTAGGAACAGACAGTACCAGAAGCTATATTTTGATAATCCACCCATCAGGAGTAGCAATCGGGTGCGGCAGAGGACCCAGGCAGGGAACTTAGTGATTGAGGCGTAGCCTGCAGAAAAATGCAGTTTTGCACTAGAGAGGAAATACGAGGGTCAAAATCAACCTAAATAAAACACTTAAAAAAAAATCCCTCGTGGAAATACAAATGATTGCTGCCATTGTAAAAAAACATTTGAAATAAATTATTCCCAAAATGCATATTTAAGTTTCATCAGATGTATCTCCTCTTCTCTTAAACCTATGCATTCCTCTTAAAAGCAAATACCCTTAATAGCTTTTGGTTTACATTTTTCTAGTTTTGGAGAAGTTGGACCGTGTAGTAATCTGTTATACATTAAATTTTATGGTTTTTTTTTCTTTGCCTAGAGCATATACAAAATGTTATGAATTTAAATTCTATTCATCAGATATACTTTAGGACTCCATTTTGAAGATGACAGCTTCTTTTCAGAAAAGGGTTTTGTTTTGTTTTTTCAGAGTCAACTCTCCAGTTACATATCACGTCTTAATTTTTTTTTAAGATCATTAAAACGTATCACACTCCAGGTCTTTACCTTTCGAAATTTGTACTTAAAAGCAAAACACACTCCTGTATATGCACGTGTGTATACACACAAATACACATTAACAGCAAACAGTGGCTTAAAAGTGGCAACCTCCCCCTGAAAAATAAAAAATGTCATCCCTCCACTCCGCCCTTCCATATGAAGTAAGACAAACAGATTTGCCCACTGCAGAGTAGCATACTAGAAAAGATGTTCTAACGTCTGACCTGAGACACTGGCAACACACAACCCTAAATCCCGACTCGGACGACCTAAATTCCAGTGTACGTGCCTTCGTTGCCACTCCTGCCCCCTCAGCACCATCCCGGACCCGGGTCCGGATCGCGACCACCCGGCGGGCCAGGACTGCCGGACTCCCCTAGTATCGCCGGTTCCCCGCAACCCGGCTTCCCCGCTCTCCGGCTCCCGGCCGACCGCGAGTTCCCGGAGCTGGGCGTCCGAGATTCCCAAGCCCACGACCCTGATGAGGGTACCGACGGTGCTGTGGACTCTGACACTTAAAAACTATCGAAAAGTCTCGCTTGCGCAAGTGGCGCGGCTGAGGCCGCCGCTTTCGTTCCGCGTCGCCCTGTCCTCGTCCCCTCGGAGCGGGCCGGGCTGCTCAGGCGACTCTCTGCGAGACCGCGGTCAGCTGCCGGGAGGAGAAAGGGCAACCAAAGCTACCAAGACGCCGCGGCAAGTCCCCCGAGCAGTCAGCCGAAGCTTTCCCTTCTCCCCTTAGTTAAAATTACCCCGGCAGCTTCTGGCGCTTCCTTCGAGAAAACGAAAATAGTAAAAAAAAAAAAAAAAAAAAAAAAAGGCGTGGAGGTAATAGAAGTCACTGCCGTTTTCCGTTGAATGAGGTCCCCTCGGCTCCATCCCTTAAGCAGAATCTCCAAACTCGGACGCATCCTCAGCCGAGGTATTCCATGTTGACAGATCTCTCGCCTCCCACAAAATGGGGCCGAGGAGGCGGCCGCTAGCTCCTCTATGGGCGCCGCCATTTTGTGAGGCGGCGGCGGCGCGGCGGCAGCAGCCCCGGGTGTGTGTAATGGTTGAATAGAATGACCCCCTCTAGGGAATCCCCGGCGCTGACAGTTACGTAAGGGGCTGTGCGCAAGTGCGGCGTTTAGGGAATCCGCACAGCCCCGGCCACGCAGCTCTGCGGCCCACATCTCCACCACCCCTAAGAGGACCGGTGGGGGAAGGAACGGATGACCTGGTCTCCCTCCTACCCCGCCCCCCCTTGCCGTCGGCCCCGACCCAGCTTCTCCACTCCCCCAGCCGGGTCTCCGCCTTTCACTTGCTTCCGAGACACTCACTGGCCCTTGGGTGTCAGGAACTTCCTAGCCACAGCCTTATTCCAACCCTATTTAAGAGACAAACTTTACTTGGGAAATAAATCCGTTTCCTAGAGTGAGCACCGGAAGCATGCTGGGCTATATTACATAATTTTTTTCACCACCAAATAAATGTTCCCATTGGAACCACTACCTGAAATGATAATCATCCAGACCTTTATAAGCCTGTGACCTTGGGTTACTTGGTGACTTTGCCCATAGTGGCCATCACTAAAATGGGAATAATGATACGCCTCACACACTGTGAAGCTTAATTAACATTTGTAGTAAAGGGTCGACTCCAACGCCCCTTGTAAATGCAAACTTAGGTGGGAGTATTTGTTGAGATGATTAGTCTCTGTTTAAGCAGCCTTTTTTTATTAACCTTCGAATTGTTTTAAGCGGGGATGGCATTTGAGACATTTGAAAGCAAGGAAAAACAAGGTTTTACTCAATATTTAAGCGCGTCTATCTTTAAGATATCTTAATGTAAAAATATAAACGTTAATTATTGTCAAAGTTCAAAAGATTGGTTCCCAACCAATTTAATTACTGTTTGTATAACTCAGCATAAAATAATCTAGTTTGATATGTGAAACCAACCAAAGGCAAAACGAATTAAGAGCATTACTACTGTATTTCCCCAGAAATAGGACAGTTCACATTGTATTTAATTTACAGTTTGCTAAAGTTAGTTTGTGGATAATTCATGGAAAATGTGCTAATCAGGCTCCAAAATACTAGCACAAGGCTCAGAAAAGCCGATTCCTTTAGACCTTAAAAAAAAAAGGTAACAAATTGACTTTATTCCGATCTGTGAATGATGCGTAGCGTGAGGAGCTGCCCCTCGGAGCTTCCCTTCCCTACCGAGCGCCAGACTGGTTCTGTCGGGCTGGCAGGGACTCCGAGGCGGCCCTTCCAACAGCCGGGCCGGGGACGCGAACATCGCCTCCACCCCTAACCCTGGAACAACCGGTAGTGGCCGTTTCCCCGCGCCGCCCCCCTTTCCGCCGGCTTTGTGTGCGTGTGAAATGTGCGGCACATTGCAGATGAACCCTAAGCCCGGCGAGCCGAGTCTATTGTTCCCCGCGAGGAGCTGCCGGGGCGGTGTGGAGCCAGGCGCAGTGCCGCGGCCGGCCCTCGGGGGTCGCTGTGCGGCGCTGGCTGCGCGGCCGTGGCGGCGGCGCTGGCGGCGGCAGAGAGGGAGGCTGGCGGGGAAGGAAGCGGGCGGCGCGCAGCGGCTCGGCTGCCGCCGGTGCTTTCTGCCCGGGGACGCCCCAGCCGCCGCGGCCGAGGCCGCGCGTGAATGTGTGCGAGGGCCCCGCGGAGCTGCGGCCGGAATACACGCTGTCACCCCTCTTTCCACAAACCACCACACAGACCTCCCCCTCCCCACCCCCAGCCCCGCCTGCCCCAGCCCAGCCGCCGCGGCCGCCGAAACTCCCGGGCCTCCGGCCGCCCCGGCCCCTCACCGTCGGCTCGCCTTTCCCCTCGCCCGCTCGCGCGCCCCCGGCAGCAGCACCATGTTGAATCGCGTCCCCAGGCCGAGCCGCCTGGGCCGGCGGCGCTGAGAGGCGGGCGAGAGCCGGGCCGCGGGGAGGGAGGGAAGGAAGGGGTGGGGGCCGCGCTCGCCCCGCGGCTTCGCGCGGATCCGGCAGTCGCCTGCCCCTCTAGTTTCGCTCGGATTTCTTTAAACTTTTTTAGAAATTCCCCTCCCTCCTTCCCTCCTCTCCCCCTGGCCTCCTGCTCCCTCCTTCCCCTCCTCCTCCTCCTCCTCCCCCTCCCTCCCTCCCTCCCTGCGCCGCCGCCGCCGCCGCCGCCGCCGCCGCCACCGCCGGCCCATGACTGAGCCCCGCCGCCGCCGGCCGAGGAATGGGCTCCGGGCTCTGGTAGGAAGCGCAGGGAGCGGGGGGCGCTTTTAAAACACCGATCTGGGTTTTTTAAAAACCTCCTTTGAAAAAATAATGGCAAACTCGACGGGGAAGGCGCCTCCGGACGAGCGGAGAAAGGGACTCGCTTTCCTGGACGAGCTGCGGCAGTTCCACCACAGCAGAGGGTGAGAGCAGAACCGGGGGGGCAGCGCCGGGGCGAGCCGGGGCGAACGGGGCTCTCCCGCCCGGGCCGGGCGCGGGGTCCCGGCTGACAAGTGCGGGGCTTTCTCTTTCCCGCAGGTCGCCTTTTAAAAAAATCCCTGCGGTGGGTGGGAAGGAGCTGGATCTTCACGGTCTCTACACCAGAGTCACTACTTTAGGCGGATTCGCGAAGGTGAGTGGAAGTTTTAATTTGTATTTCCCTCTCGCTGGCCTCTTCCAAAAAGTCTCCTTTGACCCCGGAGTGGGCGCTCGGGGCCGGGGGGGTGGCCCGCGGGGGCAAAAGGCGTTCTTTTCGCTCCCAGCCGGTGGCACGGAGGCGGACGGCGGCGGGGCTGTTTTTGGCCTGGTGGCTCGCGTGCGCGCGGCGGGCGCGGGGCTCGGGCGGGCGGGCGGCCCGGCGCCGGCTCGCGCCCTGCCCGGTGCCCGGCCGGCCCGGCGGGGTCTGAGCGCCGCGGCGGGGAGTGCGGGCGTGCGGGGCGCCCGCCCGAGCCCCGCGCCCGCGCCCGCCCGCCCGCTCGCTCGCGAGTCAGCTCTGCCGCCGCTGCCGCTCTAGCACAGGCGGAGACACAGAGACACACAGACTCTGAGAGCAGTTTTCGTGCAACTCAAAATTAGCGCGGGCAGGTTTAACATCGATAATCGGCTGCGAAATGATCCCGGCAGCCGGGGGCACAGCCTCGGCCCCGTCGCCCTCGGTTTATACAGCTAACAAAAGAAACCAGGACCTGTCTCCAAATAGCCATCTTAGGCTTCAAGGCTAGGCAGAAGCTGTAGGCCTCAAAGAAGGGCCTATGGAGATGGATAGATCTGGGAGAGGGATCGGAATCGGCCCCGGCCCCGGCCCCCCCAGAACCTGCGGACGTCGCTGTCCGGAACAGTATTGATCCTTTTGAACTTTTTTTTTTTAGTGTAAACGGACCGCGTTGAGATTTAAAAGGGGGCGACAGAGGGACTTGCGATTGGTTATTGTCCGGGCTTCAAAAACAAAACAAACCCACCACCACCCCCCCTCCCGCCCCCCAAACAAAACAAGTGCTATTAAATACTGGGCTCTCGGGTGAAAACACAGTGATTCAAGCAGCCCTTGCTTAGTTACTCTTACGGATCGATCTGAAACACCCACTGATGCCTGAGGTATCTACAGAGCTCTGTAGAATGGGTATTTATTTCATAGTTAGGTTAGAGTTTTCTTGGATGGTGCACTCTCAGACAAGTGTGGCTGTGTTTTTAACAGGTTTCTGAGAAGAATCAGTGGGGAGAAATTGTTGAAGAGTTCAACTTTCCCAGAAGTTGTTCTAACGCTGCCTTTGCTTTAAAACAGTATTACTTGCGGTGAGTAGTAGTGACTCTTCCACAGTATTTGGAATTGAGGGACTTAAGGGGAGATTTGTTTTTAGGGAAAAAAAAGAACCCCCAAACAAACCTTGCACACCAGTTTCTAAACTTCTATTCATTTTTTCAGTCTGAGGAACATCAAATACCCATCGAGTGAGGTTATAGGAAGGTGAAAGTGTTCCTCACCTATTTTAGGATTGTTTACATTTTTCATACAGGATCATTACAGGTGACACCCCACCCCCCATCTTGGTAAACATTCTTTTGTGACATTGTTATTGATTGTTTGATATCCACGGAGGGGCAGAGAGGTGATGCTTAGTAAAAGAGTTAAGATAGTTAATGAAACTTTGTATCCCTTGGGAAAATTTTTACTTTGCTTTGGAAACTCCTTTGCCTTTTTAAAATTCTTTAAGATTAAAAAAAAAATGAAACCTCTTGTGTGGAACCGTGTAACGGAGTGGTTTTTCAGTAGAATATTTCCACACAGCATAGTATGTTGGTGCCTTAGGTGACCAGGATTGTTTTTAGAATAAGTTCTTTGGAATTTTTGAGTGACTTAAAAACGTTCAAAAGGATTATTATATATGTAGGAAGATTAAGGATACTATGAAATGGAATATTATGATTTGGATTTTCTTTCATTTCTCTCCCTCCTCTTTTGACTGTATATGACAAAGTAAATTTCTTATTCAGTTGATATGTGATGCAGTTTAGATAATATATTTTCTGATTAAGCTTTATTTTTTCTTTTTCTGATAATTGTAATGTATTATGAGGTTTTTTATTTTTAATGCTTACTTTCTCATAGAGGGTCTTTAGTTGGTGGTGGTTTATTTAAAACTAAAATAATGCTCTTCATATTTATTGCTTTTTAATAATGATATAATTAAAGGGATATAAAAAAGGGATACCTTTTTTTTTTAGTTAACGTAGTTTCTGTGTAGTTTGAGTTTGGCATTTATCATTGCTCCAAATGCAATATCCAAATGTAGATATTCTGTGTTGAGTTCAGCTTTCTGAAGTAGGAAATGCAGTAATTGCCCAGGTGTGCTTTCTATTGGCTACCTTAGATTGACTTCAGGCTTGAAGCTGAAGAGTTCACAGAACTTTGTGGGTAGTTATTGAGTTATACAGAAGTCTAGAAAATATTAAGTATGGCTAGTTGTTATTTTTTCTAGTGTGTGTGTGATGGCAGTGTGTGTCAGGGTACATTTTTAAATAAAGGTCTAAAGCAATAAACAAAGTGAAATTAACCCCCCAAACTGTTGATTTAGTAATGTGGTGAGAAGTATTTTATATTTATGATGATATTCATTTGCTCATTTCCATTTATAACATTGAGAGGAATGTTATTAATATAGGTCCTGGTTTTCTGGTAATCAGTGTGAACTATTTGGATTTTAAGCTGTTTAAGAC